AAAGTTTTTGTTTACATAATATATGTGTGTGTGTACTGTGTATATTTATTATGTGTATATATAAGTACACACACAGTATATATATTGAAAATATTTACATGTGTATATTTATATTCATATCATTTATATTATATATAAATATGTTTAATATATAAACATTACATATTTTTCTTAAATGTATACATGCATGTGTGTGTATTTATATATATATATAATAAATATACACAGTATACACGAACATATATTACGTGAACAAAAACTTTTATTTTGGATGCGATTAATCGCGATTAATCGATTTGACAGCACTAATATATATATATATAGTTATATAGTAAATTTTTGAAATCACAAATGAAAACAATGCATAAATAAATCAGTATTATTTTAGCATTCATTCATATTTTGAATTAGATTTTATTTTGATATTTTTGGTTTGTCATTTAAATTTTTGTATAAGATTTAGTAATTATGTTGCTTTGTCATTTTTATTATTATTATTATTATTATTATTATTTTAAACAAATATATTTATATTTAGCTTTAATTTTCATATTTCAGTTTTGGTTTTAATAATTTTAGTACTCCATCTTATTTTATTTCAATTACTAGCCGAAGGCAACATTCCTAAATTTCTAATTTAATTTAATTTAATTTAATTTAATTTTACAACTATTTTGAATAGTTTTGGCTTTAGTTAACAATAACAACACGGGTCTAAATTTTAGTTTTAGAAATGTTCAACCTTTAAACTTTAGAAACTTTAACTACAGCTTATTTATTTCAATTTTTTTAAGGTTTTCATCTAATTATGTGTTATTTTATTTTCAATTTAAATAAGTAAAAATGGTCTTGACCTTGAATTAACAACTATTTTGAATAGTTTTAGTTAATAATAAAAACACTGATATTAATGTTTTGTTTTTTAACTTCAAAACAAGAAGTTCTGGCATGAAACTCTAGATGGCGCAGGTCTAGCTCAATCTGACCTGGCGACATCATTGTCACATGGCAGCTGATTGGTTCTCTCCTGAATCGGTAGCCAATGAGCTCGCTGCTCAATATTCAAATACCTGGCTTTTGTTTGCTGTAGCAGTTTGCAGCGCACTTCAGAAACCCTCCACCTTCCCCAGCTCCACCTGTATAGATCTGCTACGAGGTGATTCATGCATGCTCTATGCGGGTTATTCATATGTGTTATATGTGCAGCAGCCAGTGTTGGGGAAAGTTACTTTTAAAAGTAATGCATTACAATATTGCGTTACTCCATAAAAAAGTAACTAATTACGTTAGTTACTTTTTATGGAAAGTAATGTGTTACGTTACTTTTGCGTTAGTTTTAAATCTGGACAGGGCTTGCTTGTTTGTTTTTAAAATAAAAAAGTTCTATTTTTGGCAAATATAAAAGCCTTTTCACACCAAAAGTGAAATGAATAAGCCTCAGGCTGAAGGGAAAGTAAATTTACGTCCGTACAGTAGAATGCAGAAGAAGACATTTCAACACTTCAGCAATAAACAAAGACACACAAATGTTTGTCTAGAGTAATGTGTGCTTATTAGTATGGTTGAACTGGATCATCGAAGGCCAGAAGCAAAGACATTGGTTAATAGAATGGGATTAAATACATAAAGGATATTTGTGTTGTTTAACATTTAATTATTGCAGGTTTGCGTCATATTCTGAGTTGCATTATTTTTATTCATTTTGAGGAATACTGAATCTGTGTTGTGTGAGTGAGATGAATTAATGCATATTCATATTTATTTTAGAACTACAGTAACATCTTCTGATTTCTGTCACCATGGCGACACCAGAGCTGTCAGTCAATAAATTGGAAAAAAAAGTAACTTGCGTTACTTACTTGAAAAGTAACTCTTGTATATTAAAAAGAAATGTGTTACTTTACTAGTTACTTGAAAAAAGTAATCTGTTTACGTAACTTGCCCCAACACTGGCAGCAGCAGTATTTCTTACATGCTCACAGCAGCATGTTGTGGATGTATTGGCAGCAGCAGCAGCGTAGCAGATCTATTCCGCCAAGACCAAATACATTAACATTGTCATGTACATTACCATGCCAATCCCTCCGAGAGTCGTCATGACAGAACTATGAGTTTTGCTGCTTGTTTTCAGGCGAGACATGGAACCCCTTAAAGCTGCACTTCCAGATGCGTAACGTGCGCGAGCGCCTGGCGAAGAGTCTGGTGGAGAAGGGTGTCCTGACCACAGAGAAGCAGACCTTCCTGCTGTTCGACATGACCGCGCACCCGCTGACGGACAGCAGCGAGAAGCAGCGTCTGGTGCAGCGTCTGCAGGACAGTCTGCTGGAGCGCTGGAGCAACGACTGGCGCCGCATGAGCCGCCGCATGCTAGCGCTGATCCTGCTAGCGCACGCCGCAGACGTGCTGGAGAACACACTGAGCTCGCTGAGCGACGAGCGCTACGACACGGCCTGCTCGCGCTCACGCAGCCTGCTGGATGCCGACCCCGAGCTGGAGAGTGCAAAGGTCACGACCCCCGCCGAGGAGGTGATCTGGGCCGTGCTGGCGGCCTTCAACAGATCCTGAGAGAACGCTCTTCATAGACAGCATCCTAACTGACGTGACGCCTCCTAAGTGTGCTATACAAAGACAGCAGCGTGAAGCGCAGGCTTGTCTTCGACGCCACACGATGCCAGGGTTATTATCGGTAGCTAAAGCATAAAACAAACATGTTTTCAGTTTCAGTCATTTAAACATTTTTCATTTATATTAGTTTTGTATTCTAAAAAATTTTTTCCACTTTGGCTTCATTTTAGTACTTCATCTTATTTAATTTCAGTTGGCTGCCAAAGTAATTTTTACGTTTTTCATCTAATATTTCAGATTTATTTTATTTTTTATTTTAATTAACACAAATTTATATTGAATAGATATTACACTGATATTAATTTTACTTCATGTTAATTTTAGTACTTCATCTTCAGCTTTTATTTCAGGTATTTGCCAAGGCAACATTTCTAATTTTTTTAATTAATTTTTGTATATATATATATGAAATATTTTAATTCCCAAGGCACCATTTCACTAAAGTACTAAAGTACTAAAATAACTAAAACTAAAACTGAAATAAAAACTATATAGACAAAAACACACAACAAAATTCCTAAAACTTAAACTAAAAACTTTTCATTAAAGTGAAATAAAAAAATAAAATAAATAAATAAAATAAACTATATAATAGCTAATTAAAAATATTAATAAAAACTAATTCAAAATATTAATGTGAATGAATCTAAAATAACACTGATTGGAACGTCCTGTTTTATAAAAGCAATAATCCCCGTGAAGCTGTGGTTTACAGTGAATTTATAACAGCTAAGGGGCGTTGTGGAGTGCGATGCGAAGCAGATTTATAGCTGTTATAAATTCACTGTAAACCACGGCTTCACGGGGCTTATTGCTTTTATAAAACGGTTATTCCATATACGTAGTAAGGTTTCACAAAATAAAACAGAGCAAATAAAGTGTAATGATATTAATAAAAACAGTATTCTTCCACCAAACAATGTAGTTCCTCAGAATCAGTTGTGGTTGCTACAAAGTGGTTGCCGAGCAACACACAAACGTAAACAAAGGTGTATGTTACTTTGTAGAGTAATTTACAACAGCTTCGAACGCGGCTCAGCCAATCAGAATCAAGCACCGGAACTATCCTCTTTATAAATTCTATTAGGTTATGCTTTTATTCAGAAATCAGCATGCGTGTGATGCCTCGAAATGCTGTCTAGGTAGGGAGCGTGCAAGGTTTTGGATAACAGTGCATGTTTTATTTCCTGTTGTGAAATGTGCAACGTTCCCATAACATTCAGAGAGCGTGTGGGCTGGCATGCATGTCACATGACCTCACTTCATCATGTGACCCTCACACTGTCACATGACGCATGTGATCCGCTCTCTGACGTGTTTCTTCATGAAGAGAGCTTTACTGTCAGACGCTTTCATAACTTCACAACACGCCCTAATATTTATTCAGCAGTTTTTCTCTGCAGGCTGATGTTATGTCTGTGTGTTGGTTTACAATCAAACGAAGGAATCATCCGCTGAAAGCAGTTGCGCAGCATTTTCAGTGAGAGTAACGTGTTCATATGTGTGTGAAAGAGGTTTGATTGTGTCTGAATATAATGCATGAGAATGAACTTTCATGTTGAAAAGAACCTCAAGGCCCTTTGCACAAATATATATATATATAGAGAGAGAGAGTTTTATGTGTTTCTTCCAACAAAGATGGAAATGTTTGTCAACCTCAGGAGTTCAAACTAACTTTTTCATATTTACTTCATATTAATGTATTTGTGTTAAAATATGGTTTCTGTGGATTTTTTATTATTATTTCCATCTAGCAATAAACAAAAATGATGTATGATAATAAAAATACTAATATATATATATATATATAAGTGCAGTCAAACGATTAATCGCGATTAATCGCATCCAAAATAAAAGTTTGAATGGTTAAGCTTGTGTTCCACTAAAACTCACTTACACATTGAGAGAAAATGTACTTAAATGTCACTTTAGGGAATATTTTGTAGAACTTTAAAATATATATATATATATATATATATATAAA